GAGAGAGAGAGAGAGAGACACGAAAGAGCCACGAGAAAGCAGAGAGCGAGCGAGAGAGAGAGAGAGAGAGAGAGAGAGAGAGAGAGAGAGAGTGACCTGCTGGCTGGCATCTTTCTCGTTGGCGGCTGGCTGTAGATCCTTGCAGCTTGCTGTCAGTGATGGCTGCTGGACGGCAGGGTGGACTCCAACGGATGAAGGGGAACACGGCCCATTCCGGAAACTGGCAGGCAGCGGCTGGCAGGAAATTCGAAAAGGAGGTGCTGTGACGTCCAGTCGTAGTAACTTCCTTCCACCACTGTCCGGTAGGCCAAAACAAAAAAGAAAAATCGGGCCCGTATTTTTCAGGGGGCGCCCAGGACCTGAAAAATGTCCTGGGCATTCCCCTTTTTTTTTCGGTTTTTTGCCTGGGGGCTGCTTTCCAGACGTCCAGGACCGGACACCGGACCCCTACAAATTGTCCTGGACTGTCTTGAAACCAGTCCAGACGTCCGGTCGGTTACCATGAAAAGAAGGTCGTGTAGAATTGCAAGACAAACGACTTCTCGCTGAGTTTTGCATCAGAGGTAAAAAAAAGAAACGAACAGTTCATTTCTTTTTTTTAACCCCTTTCCTCTTAAAGAGTAATAAAAACCCAATATATACCCCCCTTCCTCCCCCTTTACAGCCAACGCTCAAAAAAGAAAGGAGCCCTGTTTCAGTTCCTCTCGTCCATAACACAGAGAAGCACAGAGTGGGTCATTTCAACTAGAAGCGCAGAGTGGGTCATTTCAACTAATTTCCCTAAGGGATGCCGTACCCAATTTCCAGTACCACAAAGGAAAAGAAAAAAGAAAGGATACCATAACCGAAGCCAACCATACCTAGATATCTAGGTACTGAACAGTAATGGCTGTTTCTGAACTCATTGACACGAAAAATTCATAGAGATCATACATAGACATCATATATAGCAAAACTATGCAAAATACAAACACTTTGAATTGGATAAGCAAGTTGTGTTTTCATTGATAGACTCTGAGCTAATTACGACCATTGAACAAACTTGGTGGACAAACACAATTTATGTGAAGCTAAAGTAGCAGCTGCTTGAGCATATTTTTAATTTTGGTAACTATCCAAATTCTGTAGAAGCATATCCKGTCTTTGCACAACAAGCATATAAAAATCCTCGTGAGGCTACTGGAAGAATTGTTTKTGCTAATTGCCATTTAGCAAAAAACCCTGTTGATACTGTAAGTACCACAAGCTGTACTTCCTAATACTGTTTTTGAAGCAGTTGTGGAAATTCAAAATTCCTTATGATATGCAACTTTGTAAGCCCACAGGATGCCATTGTGACCAAGTCTTACAACATTTAAAACGGCACCAACGTAAATGGAGAGGCCCATGGGATGCAAGGCAGCAACACAAACCAGGCAGCAACACAAACCCCGCGGAACTCGGAAAAGTTCCCCAGTGTGTCAGTAGAACCTGAACCGACTTCCCACAATCCTTTCTTTGTGAGGAGAGTGAAGGATGCATGCAATGTGGATGTGCAAGGCTACATTGGATCCAGAACTGCTAAGCAACGAACGTACAGAGCAGTACAGAGGACGTACCAGACCTTAACCTCAGGCTTTGAGTCTCCTTAACCATAGGTTTAGAGTCACCATTGCTGGACAACGACGACAGAATAACAAGGTCAGGGAATAGCACAGAAGTGTTTGTTAACTTTATAAAGTTAATTTGCAGCCATCAAACTGACTTCATCAAGTCCATACATACTGTCGACAAGCTGCACCATTCACGGTTGTCCTACTGTCCATGTTCTCCCTTAAAATTGAAATCCATCCTCCACATCCGAGGTGGCCCTCACCCAAATGATCATTATCATCGGAATGCCAACACACACACACACACACACACACACACACACACACACACACACAGAGCACTTTTTAATACTCCCCACCATGCACCTTAGTTTTTCAGAACATTTGTTGCCTACATCCATGCAGAGTGTTCACAATGGCTCCAACTGCACCGGTACAGGGAAGCATGCACACACTTCGTTTGACATTACTGGCATTATACCTCAGGTTTTTGACGTAGACACATCAACAGACTCACCTTGCTGAGTCCTAATGTGGAGATGAGAGGGCCCTGTAGCACAGAACCAGCAAAGACAATTCAAAACAGTCAATAAGCTCATCATCATCATCATCGACGGCAGCATCAGCAGCAGCAGCAGCACCCACGCCATGATTCAAATCGCTTAGAGATGAGGCTACTGATAGCTCCTCTGCCTACCCTCCCAGACTCTAGGCAGCTGGTACACAGAAGGGGCAGAGAAATCATTGCAGGCAGCTGTAAGCCTACCTATTCCATATTTGATATCATGAATCTGGCCTGCCATTGGTCCAGATCCTGTCCGATACCAATCATTATACCTACTCTAATTCTACAGTACTACAGGGCATCTCTAATGGCTGAAAATTCCCCACCAGACATCTGTCAATTTGCCCCTGTACCCCTTTTTTATCCCACTGAAGTGACTAAACCTACTTTCACACGTGTCCGACACAAAAGAAACATCGCGGCCATCTCCCATTCTCCTAGTTGGCACGTTGATATAGCCAGCGGCCTCTACAACTCCGAGAATGACCCATTCATTCATCACTGAAAGCTGCATTCATTCATCATTGAAAGCCACATTCATTGATCGTTGAAAGACGCATTCATTCATCGTTGAAAGATGCATTCATTCACCATTGAAAGCCACATTCATTCATATTTCAACCCTGCAAAAACACACAGCAGACATGGAAATCTCCGTCAACCACCCAGTAAGAAGTTAAAGACATGGAAATCTCCATCAACCACCCAGTAAGAAATTAAAGAACTTAGAAGTTAGAAATCAGTTTTTTTCAGAACTTGGAAAATCGGCATCGGCTTTTTCCAGAACTCGGAAATCGCAGCTTTTATGAGGGAAAAAAACTGAGTACTGAGTCAGCTGACTCCAACGGTCATCGCAAAGAAGATCAAGCTGGGTCGGGTCGAAGGTTTGGAAATATCCTCTACTCAAATCGGAGGTACTCAGGCACATGAGATTTATTAAATATATAACCAAGGGATGCTGGACCCTGCCTAATTCAAAATGGAGGTACCCGAGATCTCTATTAAATGTACCAGGGGATGCTGGACCCCACTTTACTCAAAAATTCAAAATGGACGTACCTTATTATATTTATGTAATTTATTATTAAACTTGGCATGAGACACTGAACCCAGCTTCCAGGATGTTCATTGCATTCAATCTGGGACGATGGCCCGCTTCCCATTCAGCAGCTGAAGCTCCCCGCTAGAATGCAGCGCATTTTTATTCCTTTGGTTTTCCAGCTGAAGCTCCCAACTAGAATGCAGCGAATTTTTATCCCTTTTTCTTACGCTGGAAAGATAATTGGAGGGCGGCGGCTAGCAGGTGGGAATCCTGCCAAACAGTTAGCGCTTGAGATTTGCTCTTCTTCTGTCCCCTTTTCTTTCCCTTTTTGCTTGGGAAAATCTTTGGTGGTGATTGGTCGGACTTCAAACACAGAGTAGGCCCCAAGATGTGTGTGATGCTCCCTGTGATCTGATGTTCCCTGTGCGACAACAGTCACCCCTAGAAAGCAAGGGACTAGCATGTCACAATCGCACCTGATTCCAAGGACCCAGAAAAAAAAAAAAAAAACGGACTTCAAACACAGAGTAGGCCCCAAGATGTGTGTGATGCTCCCTGGGATGTGATGTTCCCTGTGCGACAACAGTCACCCCTAGACAGCAAGGGGCTAGCATGTCACAATTGCACCTGATTCCAAGGACCGAAAAAAAAAAAAAAAAAAAAAAAAAAGTTCAATAAACCTCACCATCATGACCCCTTCCTCAAATCCATTTCCCACTTTGATACCAGCAACTGCTTCTGAAAGCTTCCTTGAGAACGTATCGTAAATGCCTGCACAGATGGGATACCAGAGCAAAGTGCAGAAAAGGGGACAAGACGAAAGGACTCGAGAGTCGAGAGGACAAAACAACGACAGTAAGGTGGTAGGTAGCCCAGAGTCTTATCAATGCAACACAAATAAACAGTTGAAAAAAAAAAAAAAAAAAAAAAGAAGGCTCAAAGAGTGTCCTCATTGCATAATCATTGCCTCCAAGCGTGAAACCCAATGGTTCGGAAAAAAAACGCAAATCAATCACTCCCTCCAGCCATCGCACCATTCGTTCGAAAAAAAATGCAAAACAAATGCAAATCACTCGCTCCATTTGAGCAACCTGCTGATTGACAATCAGAATGCCTAGCACGAGGGCAAAGTGAGCTGGAATGAAACTGAAGCGCGCAGATGTGAATTTCAGCCCACCCCAGGGCCAGCATGGTTAGTACATCATATACCACCTTGAGCCGGTGTACCCAGACACACATCAACCAAATAGCCCCCCTCCCAAAGCCGTAGCTCAAGGGGATTTTCATGCTGAACACCCCGGGTACTATTTCCCGAGAGTTCAGTGTGATTGCTGTTGCAACGTATTTCTGACAATTCAGGTGCCAAAGAAACGTACAGTGTATCAAATTCCTGCATCCTTTGAAAAGAAAAGAAAAAGAACTGTCCCCGATATGAGGAGAAGAGGGGTATTTTTTTTTTTCCTAAGAAAAAAAAGGGGGTAACTTCAGTAGAGTCACAACGAGTTATAATTGCACCATGCGGCAAGATACAGTTTGCAATTGCACTTTGGGCACCCTATCTGGCCAAAAAGCTGGGTTGTATACATTGCCCGAACTGCAATTTGAAACTGTATCTTGGCCCATACTGCAATTAAAACTCAATTTTGTCACTCCCGCGTAGTTTCCCCCCCCAAAAAAAAACAGAAAAAAAAGAGCTATAATAGCCTATTGTATGTGACAGGGACAGTCGAAGGACCCTTCGAGCCCTTAAAAAAAAAACAATCGTTCGCAAGAACAAGCAGAAACATAATCCTCAACTTGTTTACCTCCTAGCTCAGTCTGTACACTCAGAAGCTGTTGAGTCCAACTTGTTTATCTCCTAGCTCAGTCTGTACACTTAGAAGCTGTCGAGCCCAATTCCAATGGAATTAGATCATACTTGTGGTGCACCGGGGCATTGTGCGCTGTGCACGGACCCAGGGTGCGTGCGCGGCGCGTTGCGCGCGCCGCGCATCTGGGTGCACAGTGCGTGGTGCGCTGCGAACATCTGGTGTGCTTCGCGCATGTGCGCAATGTATATTTCCATGTTCTAGCGGTTGATTCATTTGATTTTGCTCTCTCTCTCTCTCTCTCTCTCTCTCTCTCTCTCTCTCTCTCTCTCTCTCTCTCCCCCCCCCTCCCGACTTCCTCTGCCGCTTTCCACCATCCCACCTTCGGCCTTTCTCCCGCCTTCAGCCATCCACCATCGCTGATACTCTCTCCCTCTTCCCGCCATCTCTCCCTCTCTCTCTCTCTCTCACACACACACACACACACACTAACTTCCCCCCACACAAACACAAAACACACACACACACACACAAACAAAAAAAACAACTTCCCCCCTTTTTTTTTTCAGAGGCCCCGCGTGGCCTCAAATTTTTGTTTTCATTTTTTTGTGGTTTATGACACGACATCCCACTCGCAAATTTTTGTTTTCATTTTTTTGTGGTTTATGACACGACATCCCACTCGGGCCTAAAACACCCCTCCCCAACTTTTTTTTTTCCCTCGACCCCTTATTTTCGGGGTGCACCGCACCCAGTGCGCGCGCGTCATGCGCTGTGCGCAGTGCAGCGCGTGTGCGCGATGCAGCGCACATTGATGCGCCGCAAGTATGAATTAGATGAGTAAAAGTAACTCTGAATTTACCTCGGGGCTGGAATTAGATGAGTAAAAAGTAACTCTGAATTTACCCCGGGGCCATTCAAAGATGATATATCAAGGCCGTCACCCTTTTACAGAGAGAGAAAGAGGGGTAAAGTTGGGAGTTGTACCCCTTTGTGAGGTGGGAGGAAGGCTAACGATCTGAGGGCCAACAGTAAGATCTGTAAGGAAGACAGAGGACTAGAGTGAAGACAGAGGACTAGACTGGAGGCAGAAAGGGTGGGCAGAGGCAGGCAGGATAGAGAGAGAATGGGAGATACCCAGGACACACGGCAAACAGTGAAGAACACTCAGCAGAAATCCCCCTCCTCTGTTCTAATACCCACTGTAAATTGTGTCACCCTCCCCCCCTCCCCCCCTTCTCACCACCACAAACACCCTCTCCTTCCTCTATCCCCCCTATCCCCCCATTCTCCAATGCACCTTACTCTTTTCAACGCTCATTTACTGCTTCACTTTTGGTGATCACTTTTTTTTTGTGGGTAAAATTTAGAGGGGGGGGAGCAAGACATGGAGCGAAGGAGGAAGGGAGGGAGGGAGGGGGGGAGGGAGAGAGAAAAGTGGGGAGGTAGAAAGGAAGAGAGAGATCTGTCTTTACACTATCATCTTCCTCCATACATCCTTTTTGAATATTCTTCCTGTCCCCCCGCTTTTCCCACCCTCCTTCCCTTCTCTGCCGACCCTCTCAACACACCCTGCTCCACAGCCACCATGGAATGGCTGTGCTTGTTTTCTCTTTGAGGGTTACTGTTTAAATTTACTGCAAAGCAGTGTCAGGTGACTGAGTGCACATATACTTCAGCGGGTGGACCGAAAAACACAGGTGGGCATAATGTAATGTGTTTCTCACTTTCTAGTATCGACAACAACAGTAAGTGTGCTTGTGCTATCATCGCTAAGTGAATCTGGCTTAGGGTCCAAAGTGGCTTAAAGTTTAGCAAAAGGGGTTTAAAGTTCAAACATTGTTTGCCCACTTGCAAAAGATGCTACAGATCTGTGCCACTCAACTTAAGCCTTTTGGCATTTGCTAACGAGTTTGGTAAGCATGTTTCACTTGCTTTGTTTGCCCACTTGCAAAAGATGAATAGTCGCTAAGCAGTGAACACCTAAGGGAAATGGAGTACTGAGTAATGATGAGGGAGGACAGCATACTTTGCACAAAAACTGTAATGGGATGGCATGGATATTGCTCATGCCTTCGTAAGGTGTGGTGTTCCTGCCTGGTTTAAACCTCCATATTAAGTTGCCGCTTGTTGTGGGTGCCTACTAAGGGACCTTCTGGCAGTCCCATGCCCATATAGTCGCTGTGGATTTTCAAATTTAAATGCTCATAATTAAATTACATCTGCTGCGTGCATACACACATAATCTGCTGCTAATAAGAAGCCGCACACACATGGAATCTATGTTGTGTAGAATTGCAATACAAACGACTTTTGGCTGAGGGTCACATTAGAATTCCTCACAGAATCGGAGATCGAAAAGAAAATAACAGCATCTAAGGCACCCCCCTTCAAAGTTTAAACCTTTTAACCCCTTTAAATTTTGAAAACCAATTTATACCCCCCTTCCCCCCTCCTTGACAGCCAACTCGTCTCTGAGTACCTAGGTATCCACCGTAAGCCCTTAATTCCTCACAGAATCGGAGATCGAAAAGAAAATAACAGCATCTAAGGCACCCCCCTTTAAAGTTTAAACCCTTTAGCCCCTTCAAATTTTAAAACCAATCTATGCCTGTTTTCGACTCCCCCCCCCCCCCCCCGCCGCCTTGACAGCCAACTCGTCTCTGAGTACCTAGGTATCCACCGTAGAACCTTCCTTATTTGAACCTATTACCTTCCTTCCGGACTCCAAAAACATTGTAATTAGAATTAGATTCAAAAAATCCATTCCATTGTTTATTGAGAATGTACATATAATTAGAACTAAGATTATATATATAGATAATGTGTGAGAAGATTCCCTAGGAAGATTCTCAGGCCCCGCCGGTCCTGCCCGGCCGGGGGCCCGGGCTTGCGGAGTGGGTCGTAGTGCGCCGAGTTCTTCTCGGTACCGGACTAACACTGACCCGGTTTTAAGCGTAGTCATAACTTCCCGATGTCTTTCAGAGTTGTTTGTGGCATTCGGAGCAGCGTGCTTCATCTGCATTCGGGAGGACTGTTGTGCATCAGATACTTTCGGGTGTACGTATCCCGATGTCCTCAGATTTGTTTGTGGCATTCAGAGCGTGCTTCATCTGCATTCGGGAGGAGTGTTGTGCATCAGATACTTCGGGTGTACATATATGGCGTCGTGTCAGGCCTCCCCCTCCAACACACACACCACCACCACTACATCCCACCACCACCCACGCCTCCCCTCAAACCACAGGGCACTTTCCACTACCCTCCAACATTATCAGCCTACAACATTATTACCACAAGCGCATCTTCACGCTGACAACTTGACACACATGAAGCAACCTTGAGGTACACGGTATGACTCAGTGCAGAACTTGTGATCTTTGAGACACTAGTGACGCATCTATAGGCCGCAACTGCGCCACTCGTATCCATTTCATTTCATTGCATTTCATTTCATTCCATTTCATTCCAGTAAAGAGTTCATTCCATTTCATTCCAGTAAGGAGTCATTTACTACTACTATGACTGTTGGTTCCAGCAAAGACAGTTGCGACGTCGACTCATTTCAGGATTTGTTCACGTACATGATGCTTATCTGAGGAGGTTAAGCAGACGGAGTGTAAAATGATCGACGATCTAATTTAGAATGCAAGTTGGCAGCATCCAGCGAGACGTTGTCCCTACCTTTCTGGACCGATGACGATCAACTCATTAACGGACATATCCAGAGAGAACTGTCAAAACTTACCATCCTGCACAAAAATTCGGTTTGCACTGATACATGCTTGACCACCATTCCAAAATTTGATCATCATCTGTTTGGAGAGCAGACATACAATTCGCAATGCACAAAGAGTAAAGAACAGATCCAATGGCTTACAGAGGAGGACTTGGGATGCCCAACGCAACACATATGGATTCAATGCTGGCTGGCTTTGCTCTCTTTCTTTTCCAGAGGCTTACTAAATGCCTGCTACAACTGCATGACTTCAATAAATAGATGTAGAGAGACTAATGTTGTTGACAACAAGTATTCATGAACCCTGAACGGTTGAACCCCCACGCCCAAGAGCTATGAATCCCACACGGGCTAAAGACTTACCAGTCCAGATACGTAGTTTTCAACTTCAGTTGCTTATCACAGCAAGCACACAATCATCATTAGTACCATCCGGTAACCAACTTTTCAATAGGGGACTGAAGGACAACATCAATGTGCAGCACAGCAACGATGGCGAACAACAACCCAACCACAACCACAACCACAAAGACAACAACCACCGCCAGCACCAGCACCAGCACCAGCGCCACCGTCACCACCGTCGCCACCGCTGCCACCACTGCCACTGCCGCAGCCGCCAGGACCACCTGCCCCATCCACATCCTTCCCCCCCCCCGACCACAACCATCCTCCCAACCCCAACCACTCCCCACCCCACCACCATCACGACGATGACTACAATAACCACAGCAAACACAACGACAACAATGACAACAATGATGGCAACAACAACAACAACAACAACAACAACAACAACTCTGTACAAAGCTGGAAATGGACAAGGGGATAGAAGGAGAAATGGTCACCAGGCAGCTGATCCTCAGCAATGTGGCTCGAGCTGCGACCAATACAGGTGTGCAGTTGATGTGTGTCCGGAAATTGATTCAACGCAGGTTCCGTATTGAAAACTCTCCAAACGGTGTTGAATCCCAATTGAAAAGCCCGCTAGACGGGTTACAACGGGGTCCGAGAACATTTTTTTCGTGGGCTAAAAAGACAAAAAAAAAACAAACAGTCTACAACCCCTTTTTTCTTTTTTTTTTTTAGCTTTGAATATATTGTCACATCACTATTTTAAAAATCAAAAACATAAACACAACGGCAAAAAAAAAAGGATGAAATGAGTGTTTTTTTTTTTTTTGGTTTCAGATAGATTTGTTTAGGGCTAAAACAAAGGCAGAAAGACAAATAAAATATTATATAGGGTCAAGTTATTACAACAACATTCTTTTATTTTTTTTTGGAACTTTCATGTATTTAAAAATAAATAAAAAATATAAAAAGTTATTAAAAACACTTAAAAAAAGGGAAAGCAACACGCGCATACACACACACAGACACACACCACACAAACACACAAACACACACACACAAACACCAACAATCACACGCACACACACACACACACACACACTTAAAAACACACACATACTTGCAGATAGGTCTGGGGACGACAGGATGGGCCGGGCGGCAGGATAGGATGGGCGGGGGAAGAAGAATTTTGGGATCGTAGTGGTTTAAAGGGCTTCCAGGTAGTTTTGGGGACTCGTAGGGGGGGTCAGTTTTTTTATTTTTCTGGTTTTAGTGTTTCGGTGCATACGGCCACGTGTCCAAGGCCCAACACCCCCAATCCGTTTTTCCAGATTCAACGGGAGACCCCCGTTTTCCTGGTCACGAGATTCAATGGGGGCTCCGGGGGCTATTCAATGGGTACAATGGTGTTTAATTCCGTCTGTTGCCCGTTGTTAGGACCCACAGGGCAGTTGTGAAGAAGAGGAAGAAACCACAGGGCAGTTGTGAAGAAGAGGAAGAAACCACAGGGCAGTTGTGAAGAAGAGGAAGAAGAGGAGACGGTTTTTTTTTAGCATAACTTCGTTCTGCCAGTTCCATAACATAGTTTAGCATAACACAGTTCTTTTTAGCATAGTTTTTTTTACTATTTTAGCATAAAAAGTCTGGTATAACATCGGGCAATTTTTTAAGCATAACACAGTTTAACATAACATAGTGTTTTTTTTTTACCATAACAGTCTTGGTAGAAGTGAGTTTTTTTAAGCATAACATAGTCTTGGTAGACCCATTTGTTTTTAACGTAACGTAGTCTTGGTTGACACATCCAGAATAAATGCATCCTGCGTTAAGGGGGAGATGGAGAGAAGGGAGAAATGCGACATACATAAGGTCCGTGTGACTCACCGCTGAACTGACTGCGAGATCGACGTCTGCATCATCAAACACGATGAATGGAGAGTTCCCTCCCAGTTCCAAAGAAACCTGCACATGCATCCACACACCCACCACCATTGGTTGTTCCCCATGTTCTGTCCTCCACTGTATGCCAAATAGTGAGGGTCTATTATCATGGCCTTTTTCAATCCACTATGTGGGTGCCTTTTCCTAAATCCACCTCCTGTGGAAGTGGAATTCCAAATAAAACACCATCACAATTGCTGCAGCGTCGCCTCCAACTGAGTGTAACTCACCTTTTTCACATTCTTTGCAGCACCTTCCATCAAAAGCTTACCCACAGCCGTTGATCCTGTGAAAGTCAGCTTGCGGACCTGATTAAGAGACACCAACAGGAGGAAAGCAGTCTCATCAGCCATTCTAGTACTAACTGCAATCAAACACACCGAAAGACGGAGGATGGATTAGATGGGTACAAAGATACACATGGGCGGTTTACCCCCCCCCCCTCTCTCTCTCTCTCTCTCTCACACACACACACACACACACACACACACACACACACACATGAACGACAGAACGATGGATAGTAGGAGACTAGTAATATTTTAATGGACGGAGGGACGTAGTCTAAAGCAGCAAATAACTGGAATGGCGGAGGGTAAAGAACTCAATTAACAGAAACCCAGAGTCAGAACAGGAGGTCAAAGCTAAATTTCAACAGGTCTGGCTGGCACTCGTCGGCTAAGTGGCAGCTTTTGATATTAAGCTCCAACTCAAACGGAAACGGTCCGACTAGCTCAATTCGGAGATCATGGCAATCCGTTCCCAACACAACCTGACACAAGAAGGGCAAGATGCAACCCCTGGACTTTCCCAACTATGCTTCCCATGCACTTTGTAATCGAGGCAACGATGAAGGGATACACGGGAGGATTGACGGTCAGCATTGATTGCCCTTCTCATCCATGTATTCCTCTCAGCTAGCTTCCACCATTGATTGCCCTTCTCCAGTTCTCATGCATGTATTCCTCTCAGCTTCCAGCATTCAAGTTCATTGCCCTTACTCATGCACGCAGGTTACACCATTGATTGCCCTTACTCGTGCATGTATTCCTCGCAGGTATACAGGAGGAGGATGGACTGGCAATCAATGTCAATCTTTGATTTCAAACTTACGTATTTTCAAAACAAGGGTGATGAATCTTCATCAAACCTGCCTTTTAAAAAATAGTTTGATTCGTTCTTCGGGACATCCATTAAAATTGGAACGATACAGAGAGAAAGAAGAAGATTAGCATGGCCCCTGCGCAAGGATGACATGCATGAATCGAGAAATGGTCCAAATTAAATAAAAAAATACAAAATACAAAATGAATAAAAAGGAGTCCGATTCACCTTATTTGATGAACGCAACTTCCTGACAAGGAATGAGTTGGTCATCATTTTTATCTTTTTGAAACAAACTCACCCTACCTCGAAACGTGACATTAGGAAAGTTCAATATTACTTTACTTCATTGGCTTTACAAATCATTTCGGGTTCTTTGTACTTCTTGCGCTCATGCGTTATTTCTCCCTTGCAGCCTTGCAGGGTAAAGCCTCTAACAGGATGAATCAATCCTCCTCTATCAGGGAGCAATCAATGCTGGTCGCGCAGCATTGATTGATTGCCCCTTCTCATGCATTCCGTTCAGTAATACAGAAGGATTGATTGGCAAACAATGCTGACCGTCAATCCTCCTGTAACAGGGATCCTGTAACACGGAGCAACCAATGCTGGTCCGGGATACTTCGGCTAAACGGAAGGATGCGTGAGTGTGTAAATGATGCAAAATCTTACTGTCTTGACTTTGCCCGGGGGGGGGGGGGGGGAGGGAAGAATAGAAACCGGACTGACGGTCCCCAGAAAAAAAGGAAACGAATGGATGTGGTACCCTGCACATGAGCAAAAAGTCCGGACTTGGAGGGAAAAGTAATCCTGTCCAGGGCGCAACACCTGGCACTAGTTCCAGCTTCGAGGAATTTTGGTACTCCCTCTCCTGCACCGCTGACAGAATCCTTCCTTGCGCTTGCACAAAGGGGTATCAGAAGGGAAGAGGGCACCATACATTCAATCCTCCTGGTAAGGCGCAATCGGTATGAACCGGTACGAAGCATGGGTAAATAATAAATATTATGAACTCATTGGAATATAGGATCCTGACTTGGCAAAAAAGAAAAACACAAAAAAAAGAGGAAAAACAATCCAGACTTGGCAATGGCAAAGGAACAGGACTGATGTTCGCCAGAATAGAAAGGATCGACGCCAATCGACGCCAATAAGACCGCACACATATATATATTATATATATTGTCCATTCACTACAAACTAAAAGAGCACACTTTGTGGAACAAAGAATAAAAGCAAAAAACGGGCACAGTGATAACATGCAAAAATAAAAATAAAAA